TCAAACAAGTAATTAGGTAACTATGAAAAAATATTTTTAGATTAATAAACTAAAATAAACCATAAAATATGACATTAAATTTACCTGTTGCATTTTCTGTATAGCTCCTTGTTGATCACTTTCTTGTTTAACACATTCATCATTTGGATCAAAAGGTATTATGAGCACTTCATTTTTATGTTCTGCTTTACGTCCAAATACATACATTGAAAGAACATCTAATACTTCATACATGCTATCATTTAGTCTTTCATCAATATCTTTATGACCAGATAGCCTAGAAAATGTCAGGTATAATGTATGAAGTAAAAAAAAATCTTAAAATTAATTACTTGGCACATATCGCTGGTATATTTCCTTTGTTATCAATTGCACGTGGATCAGCTCCATAAGTAAGTAGCAATTCAGCCTGTAATATTTGACCAGCTTTAGCTGCCACATGTAATGGATAACTTCCTTTTTCCTAAATTTATTACAGAAATAAAATATGTTTAAAATAAATAATAAAATATTTACTTACAGGATGATAATAATTAGGATCAGCTCCTTGAGCTAAAATTCTTAGGCTTGTTTCTAGATTTGATGTCCTAACACTAGAATGTAGTTGTTGATTTAAATCTTCTCTAGTATCGCTACTTTTTAATATAAATGATTGCTGTCTATGTTTAGCACGTATAAAATCTTCTTTTAAAGGTCTAAAATATTTTTTAATAAGTAATTAAGAGTAGGAAAAAATTATAAAATATTTCATTTACAGTGGATCCTTGGGAGTAGGTTTTTTTTTGTGAATTTTATTATCACTTAAAGCATGTTCCCAAAGTGTATTAACATTAGCTTGATGTAAAGTTCTAACCATCTAAACAATAACATATTACATAGAGTATTTTGACAATTAATACAACAAACTTCATTATATAATATAATATTTATAAAGTACTCACATTCAATGTAATTGGACACCATTCGGCACTTAAACTTTTAATTTGTGATATGTGTCGCCCAAGACTACGATGAATACTACAACATTCATCACAAATATACAATCCACGATTTACAACAACCCAATCTGGATCTAGACAGAAAATTAGTAGGACATTTATTTTACAAGCCATTGTTTGATTGATAACAATGTAAAAATCCATTTATTTTAATGATTGAGTACACATTTAATAAATATACATTAGATTTAATATAGGTGTTTTATTCATTGTATTACCAAAATTAAAAGAAGTATTTTTATCAATAATTTGATTGCATATTATCACTGATATTTAAGCTTAAAACTGTGCATCTCTTAGCGTGGGATAACATCACTCCTATATAAATAGTCCAGTACAACTTATTCAATAATAAATTAAGACAATATCATTAGGAGGGTTATTCAGAAGGAATACATGAATTGGAGTGTGCACAKGAATACAGAGCTCTCCTAATACTTTTAATTTATTTACTTGGGCAGGAGGGATACAAGCTTAATTYCCAAATATTTTTTATTTAATGTGGAGTGGATTTAAATCGTTCACGATGATGTACCTAAATGGTTATACCTTTTTGAAACCTAAGATATTTTATTCATCTTTTCATGGTTTAAAATAATTTACTATTTTTGATAAAGTTAAAAGTGTTTATTATATTTRGCTTGTTCTTTGCCTAGTGCAATACTTAGGACACAAATATGTACAATAAACTATTGTGAAATCATATATCTGTGGGATATGATTGGGTAAATATATATAATATATATAATATCAATTGGGTAAACGCCCAAATCAAAAATTAAGATATTGTCACTAATATATGAGTAAAATAATTTTGCATTTGGAACACACTTGAATTGAGCTCTTTTATTTAATAATTTCCAAATAGACCACTTTTCAGAAATTATTTATACCTAAATATTATTGTACGAATTACACATAACTTAAATAGATATTTTGAATAGTTTTTATAGTTCATCATATATCAACTAGTATTCTTGATGCGAAATAGTAATGTTAAAACCAGTTGTCAGTTTAAAGTTATTATTTTTATATAGTGGTCAGTTGAACTTTGGTATTTTAATGGCGTAACAAAAAAAAAACAAATTAATTCTTTCCTAAATGTATGTTGTAGAAAACTATATTATAATGATATTAAAATAATAGACTATTAATATTTTCATAATATACCTGGAGCACTGCAATCGGCACATACGTCATTGTTTTTATACTTTATAGACATAACTGTGGCGAACTTGTTCGACAATAAAATTCGATGAGTATAATACTGTTATGTGTACAATGTATCAAGTCCACGGAGGTGAGTAGGCGAAGAAAGAAATTAGGATTTAAAAAAATGAACACACAAACAATTGTTTGAACGAAGGACATAGAGAAACATGCGATTTTCAATTGCAACTGATCTGTCAGCAACGTATAAGATACAAGAAGCAACTAAATACACTGTATTAACACTATTAACTATTAGACAAGGCGTCTTGAGAATCAAGGGTGCTTGCTAGGCACAACCATAGATATTAGATAACACTATTGAGAATTATTGACAACCTTTGAATTTTAAAAATCTGCAGTCAGCATTCGATCCATCATAATATCCTTGTTCGAATATATTATAGAAAATAGGTATTATGTAATACCGTAGTATAATACCATTGAGTATAATACTATCATTCTATCACAATTTTAGACCTGAGACTCATATTTTTTTTTTTAGTATCTACACATTATACACGGAAGGAACAAAACGAGCATCGGGCAGTATGGCCACAGAATATATATATGTATAACATATATTCCGTGATATGGCACTCGAGATAACAGCCAGTAAACGGGAAACTCGTCAAATTTTTAGGAGACACTGTAGAAGTGTAGACCATGGTGATGAATTTCACTAGTGGTTGCCTATTCATCTCCTTAAGAGAAGGTCGGCATAAAATTTGTTTTCTCTCACTTGCAAGTTGCAACATGGATATTGGATAATATAACCATAGACATATAACTAAACTTTAGTTTATATATCTATGAATATAACGCTTTCACCGAAATTATTTTTTTCGATTTTTCTGTAATCTTAGAATAAAATCACCCATACTAAAAATTATAGAGGATAATTTTAGAGGGTAGGATATACCGGGTGATTCTTTTATTATTGAACACTTATTATTTCAAAAATTATTAATGTTTCTGAAAATATTATTTTACATAGTTTCTAGTTGTTAAGAACCAACGTTTTTATTAACAAATTATATTTTTTATCATTATAATTTTTTAATTTTTTTACTTTTTTGAATGACAACATAAAGTTTTAATTTCATATTCCAAAGCAGAATATTTTTCTAAGTATTTTGATTCATAAAAATCGAATTTAGGACGATTAGTTCATGAGTTATAAGTACTTAAAGTTTTGACAAGCGGAGTAGTGGACAAACATTTTGCGGGGTAATCCCGTACCACTATCCACTCTGCCAATCTAAACTTTAAATACTTATAAATCATAAACTATTCGTCCAAAATTCGATTTTTACGTATCAAAATACTTAGAAAAATATTCTGCTTTGGAATATGAATTTAAAACTCTAGGTTGCCATTCAAAAAAGTAAAAACTTAAAAAATTATAAGGATAAAAAGTATTAAAAACAATTTTTTTAATAAAAACGTTGTTTTTTAACAACATATGAAACTTCGTAAAAAAATATTTTCAAAAACATGATACTTTTTGAAATAATGAGTGTTCAGTGATAAAAGAATCACCCGGTATATATATTATATATAAGGGTATGACATATTGTTTTCATATTTAATTTATATTCGACTTTTGAGAAAAAAAAATTGTGAATTTAATTATTTAAATGATGTTTAGATTGTTTTGAGAAAATATTTAGACGATTCAATATGGCATTTCCTCAAAAATATTATTCACTTCGTTTTTGTAATGGGTAGTTTAAAATTTTACTCTTAGGTTATTCATAAACATGAAAAAAAATGATTCGGTGTAAATGTGTTTTGACTATTTATTTTACGCTGGGTGGCTTGGTCAGAGAGAAAACAGTATGTTGACATCCTCGATAAAACATACAAGATCTTAGAAGATATTTTGTATCGGCAACCACTAGTGACATTTTATCCCCATATCACCTACCATTATGGCATTAAAATTAAATTTCTCGTATTATGTATTATTATAGTGTTTGGTACTGTGGATATAATTAATCCGCATATTTGTAGACTTGTATAGTTTATTGCATTTTACATTTCTACATCCGGAGTAGCATCTAGTATATTAAAGTTATGCGTAGTATTGAAGTAAGATAGCACTAGTAACTGTAGATTTAGTAGTAGCAGTGTAGTATAGAATAGATAATATATAATAATAAATTAATAACTATAACACCTAGTATTATTAATATACTACGATTATAATAACCACGGTTGTACTGGTGTAGTCCTGTAGGTTGTAGATATAGTGTGACCAGACGTCCCCCATTAGGGGGGATTGTCCCGTTTTTCAAAGTTGCGTCCCGCATATCTTAATGTCCCATTTTGGTCCCGCATTTATGAAAATTTAAGTGGTGCATCAGCATGATTCCACACTCTACACTCTAAAGGACGTTGTATCAGACTTGCAATCATGAATTGATAATAATAAAAAAATTGTATCTAAGGATAAGTATTAAAACTGTAATTGTGATTGTAAATTAAAATTTGTTTATGTAAAAACTTTTAAAATATGTAGTATCTAATGTTTGTCTGATTTGTTTATCAATAAAAAATAATTTTAAATAAAATGAAATGTAATGTATTTATGCTATTATTATGTATTTACATTTTTTACGTACCTCTTTTTTTGAAGTGTCCCCCTTTAGGATAAAATAATTATGGTCACACTATGTAGATAATAACAAATAAAGATTGTATAATAATAATAGTTATAAGACTTGTTATAGTAATATGTTATTATGTTAGTATACATTTTTATTCGCATCGACGCCAATATAGTATAGTTCTGTCAGGGACCATCGTCAATAGATCCACATAATACGGTGTATACAGATATACTATACAGCAAGAAACGATGGACGCTGCACCCGTTATCACTCGTCTCGACAAGAACTGTTAACTGTATGACATAATTTGGTCAATAAATCGCTTACGTATAGGTACTTTTCTATTGGAGATAAATTTCATTGTGGTTACAGACTGTCAAAGTGTCAAGCTATAGTATACTTAAATAGTTAAATATATATATATAGGTCAGACAAACCACAAATCGAGTGGTGGAACGAAATCCTTCAGAAACACGATTTGAAGTGAAGTATACCTCCCGGAATCGCGGATGGCGCATGTTCACGCATTAAGTTATGCGGTAAACGACGACGACGTAATTGCCGAAACCGTAGGCTCTCACAATGCGCTTACTTACGTCTTCGACGCAATTTCCCCACACGACAGAGTATATACTTAAATGCTTTATGGCTTATGCAATACAGCTAGGGTGACCATTGGAGGACCGGATATYCGTCAATTGGAAAATGTCGGTCCGAAAACCAAACAAATAAGAATTTGACGACCTAGAAAAGTATGCAATTCTTTATTTTAGATTCTAAGCGGAGCGATGAATGTATTGATTTTACCATGAATCATGATGTGTGTTTTTTTTTGTGTCTGTCATCACGTTTTGTGGCAGTAAAAGTGCTTCGACTTTTGACTTCAGTACCTTGTTCGATCAGAAAGTTAATATAGTTGGCCACTTTGGGGGGTCAAAAGTAAAAAATTCTTAAGATTTTTCTAAATAATCGGGATAAACAAATTAAAAATTAAGGGAAAAACGGGAAATATTTCGACAAAATCATAGATACATGAAATTTTCACCAAATGTTTAAATGAACTATTCATAGGCATATGCAATTTTCGATCATTATTAGTTTTCTTTTAATTAATATCGATAAAAATTTATTTTTTGGGTAGATCTTAAAAATTTAATACAAGGTATTAAACATATTGTTACAATAGCAGTTGAAAAATAAAATAAATTCATATTCACAATTTTTTTTATAAGCATTCAAAATTTGAATTTCGACAAAATACGTAAATATCACATATATTCGCAAATTATTTTAAGCTAGAAATTGATAAAAAATTTTCTGTTGAAATATAAGATTTAAAAATTTAATTCAAGATTCGTTATAAGTTTGTCAATCTTTATCACAAAAAAATGTCCACCGGAAATTCAAATTAAATTTTTATGAGCATTTCAAATTTAAATTTTTATAACATTGGATTTTCACTGGATTTCACTTTAGCGTTTTACTTATTTTGGTGTAACTCTAAAACAAATGACCGCAGATATTAGAAATTTTCAAAATTATATTATATTTTCAATTTATATAGGCATTTTCTATATTTGATACAATTTTCAAAATATTTAGATTTGTTTTGAGCTGTTTACTGACATTTTAATTTTTAAACTTTTTGGTTTTTTTCCTATAAATATCGATAAAAATTTATTTGTTGGGTAGAAAAGCTTGAAAATTTAATACAAGGCTTCTAACACATTGAAACAATAGCAGTTGAAAAATATTAAAAATATATGGACACGATTTTTTTTTTATAAGCATTAAAAGTTCAAATTTTGACTAAATACGTAAAAATTACGGCAATGTTCAAATTCTCTTATATTCTATATAAAAGTATATGATCTATGAAAATAGATATTATAACGGTAATTATCGATAAAGCTGATAAGTTAACTTATACATCGAAAACTTATAAATTATATTATTCAGTTCGTAGAATGGGGTACCTATACTTATAAT